GTAGTTTTTAGTTTTTACTATGTTGAATAACACACATATATACAAACACCATGAGATTGATATATAATAGTATAGATTATCAAATTAACAAAGGAAATATGTAAAGTCCATCTATTTCCATATTTATCGTTATAGCCTAGCATGAGTGCCGTACCCAGGCGGCGGGTGAAAATGAAAAATGAAAAATGAAAAATCCTTTATTTTTTCAGGCAAAGTTAGGGCCACATGGCCCTTTCTTACACTTAACCTGACATTAAAAATATAACATAAATAATGTGACATAGGGATAACTTAATCTAATTAAACATAAAATATTTAACAATTCAAGTACCTACATATCTAAAAAAAAACATAAAAATTTAACAAATAGAAAAACACATTCATACACTCTCGCATACACGCATCAGCAAACGCGCAAGGTAACAGTAGCCCTAGGACACGCCAGCCGAGACCATCTTCTCAAAATAGAGCTTTTTCAGTGCCGCCACAAACTGGGAACGTTTTTCAAGGGTCTTAATGTGTAGGGGTAGGCCGTTCCACAGACGACAAGCGGTAACAACAAAAGCCCTGCCATAAGCTGTGGTCACATGATGAGGTATACGCAATGTGATCGAAGAATAACGAGACATTCGTGAACTACCCTGAGACACAAATTTAAAATCGGATTTGAAATATTTTGGGGAGCCTGATTTCAAAATTGAAAAAACCAATGACAAAATTTTAATGAATCTTTGATCATTTAATTTCAGTGCCTCAAGGTAGTATGGCGTGATATGCTCCATACGTCGCAGACCATAGACAAATCTCAAACAATAATTCTGTGACCGCTGGAGCATACCCGATGATGACGCCCAGGTGATTTAGTCTCAGTCCATGATTCTCAGTCCAAGTAACAATTTGGTTGACATCTTCATTGATCCTTCTGACACAGTCGTTTTCGTTGTTTGCAGTAAAATGGTCATAGATTTGTAAGTCATCAGCGTACATGTGGTGTTTACAGTTGACCAAGGTCAAGTTTATGTCATTGACGTACAGTACGAAGAGCAGAGGCCCAAGGATTGACCCTTGAGGCACACCGCATGTAACAGTCACCCAGTCTGATCTCGTGTCACCAATCACCACACATTGCTGCCTATCTGACAGATAAGATCTCAGCCATTTAAGAGAATTATGGGAAAACCCTATGGCCCGTAATTTCTGAACCAGCAGGTCATGATTAACACAGTCAAATGCTTTAGAAAAATCAAATAGAGTTAGAATCGTTCCTTGTCGACGCTCCATAGCAAGTTTTATGTCTTCAGTCACTCGAAGGAGTGCTGTCTCTGTACTGTGTGCTGTCCTAAAACCAGATTGATAGTCAGATAAAATGTTGTTTTCTGTGATGAATTCAGTGATTTGACAGTGAACGATTCTTTCTAGGCCTTTAGATAGAGCGGGCAAAATACTTATCGGCCTGAAATCCCCAACCAAGGTTGGGGCTGAGATCTTTTTTAGGGGACGGATAATGGCAGACTTCCAAGAAGAAGGGAAAGAATGGTGCCTTAAAGATGCATTAAAAATGAACGTGATAGTTGGAAGGATGGCATAGAGGATGTCTTTGATAAAACGAATAGGGATACCATCAGAACCGACAGCATTGCTTCGGATTCTGCGGATAGCCATCAAAACATCGGACTGAATAACTGGTTTAAAATTAAACTCAGGATATCTCAGGTGTGGGGTTGGAGAGTTAACTAGTTAATTTAAGTAACTGTCAACTTGATGCTGGTTGGTATTTTGACTGCAAGAAGAAAAGTAAACGTTTAACTCATTTAGAGGAATGTGTACCGGTTGAGAATCAAATTGTTTCCCTAGCCCAAGACTTTTAACCTTGCGCCATAAAACATTTGATGGTTGCTTTTGATTTTCAAAAAGTTTCTGAATGTATCTGAGTTTCGAATTTCGTAGAAGCTGTTTAACTCGATTACGATGATTCCGATATTGTTGTTTTAGTTCTAAATTGCTGGAGCGTCTAGCCTTTCTAAATAAGCTATCACGTTGAGCCATCAAACTTTTAATTTCAGGGATCATCCACGGAACAGGTCTTCGTTTTGTCTCACGTTTTGAAACGATGGGAGCATGCTTGTCAAAGAGATTCAATATGGATGAATTTAGCTCATGAACCATTTCATCGACAGAATTTAAATTTTCAATGAAGTGCCACGGAGTTTGTGGAACATCTAACATGAACTGAGCGACATTCATATTTTTAAAATTCCGATATTTAATAAACTTTGCTTTGGGCTTGGGAGATTTGATTGATTACACACAGAAAATGAGGTCATGTTTAGATATTGCAGGGATTGGAAGCTGCCCATGATGAATGATATCGTGGTCATTGGACACAACTATTAAATCTAAGAGGGTGTCAGAATTGGCAACATGATGTGTGGGATCGAGTGGTAGTACAGTTAAGTTGCACGATTCAAACATGGTAGTCAGCTGTCTGTGTTCAAAGTTATGAGTCAACGATAGTAAGTCAGTGTTAAAATCACCCATGATCAAAACATGACTGTATTTGAACATCTCGTTAAGCAGAGCATTTTCAAAATCAAGCAGATGCCCTGATCTTGGTGGGCGGTAGCACACTCCTAGTAACAGCGCATCTGCTCCAGGCAAACTGATCTCAATAAATAGGAATTCTGGCCCAGCCGAGTACTCCGATGGTGAAGAAAAGACTGTTTTAAACTTTAAATCCTCCCTGATATACACCGCAACGCCACCGCCCTGTTTACCAATCCTGTTAGAGCTATTTTCTCAGTTTACATCCACTGCTTTCAAATCCTGTCATTACGTTGCAGCACATATCCAGGGAGGGACACCTCATTTGAATGAATACTCGGCTTCAGCCAGGATTCAGAAATGCAAATTAAATCAAAATTACTGGGACAAAATATTTCTCTAACCTCATCAATGTGAGCACGCAAAGACTGGGCATTGATGTGCGCCGCTTTCAGGTGTTTGGGATAGGGAGATAAGGAGCGAGAAAGACAATCAGCGGTGGACAATGTAGGGTGTAGGATGGGGGAGGGGGGAGAGATAAGCGGGTCGTTGCGGCGAGCACTGTGCGGCTGTGGACTCGCTATCCCGGGTCCACAGGTCGCGACGTCACGACAGGCGCACCCAAGACCACTGTACAAGCTGCGATCACTGATTCACACTCACACACATGAGTGCGGTGAGTGCGGCGTTGCCAGTTTGAACATCGCGGCCTTGTATTAGAGGTGGCTGTACTGCCGTATGCCGAAAGTGATAGTCCCCTACCCACTATCAGCTGTTACCTATTGTGGTCCAAGATGCGTATGGCGGCATTGTAAATAATGTTCCACTCGAATTAGAGTTTTTCATTTAAGATATTTTCAGGCTGTTTTTTAGAAGCACGATATATTTTGAATTCTTCTAGTGTGTCTATGTATTTTCCTTTGTTGCATAAATGGAGGACGTTGAGATTATTGTTTATACCCGTATAATTGTGGTTGGAATTAATCCAAGGGTTGGAAAATACCGACTTGGATCATATTTTAGGCAGGTTTTCTTTAAATCGGGTGGTAAATGATCAGTTGTGACGTCTGGCCGATGTAGAAGCTTGGGCAGTCGTTGCAAGACAATTTATAGACCCCGGTTTTAATTAACTTGTTGTCTACCCTTTCTTGTTGGTTTCTTGATTTGAGCATCGAAGTTTATTTGACGTCTTGAATACCACAACAATGTTACCTCATGTCATTTCGCTTCTTAATGTGTTATTAAGGGCAACATCATACTCAGCACTGACGTATTTTTTTATTATTATTCCCATCCAAACTCGGTCTGGTTGTGTTGGTGTGTTTATTAATGAGTTTGTGGATTATGGAAGGTTTGTAACCGTTGGAAACAGCAATGTACTTTAATATGCAAACCTCATTTTCGTAATCAGTATTGTTGAGAGGAATGGATAATAGGGGGTGGACAAAACTATTATAAGCGGCAATCTTGTGGCTGTATGGATGGTGTGAAGACGTGTGTATTGTCTTATCAGTCGTGGTCGGTTTCCGGTATATCTTAAATTGCAGAAAATTTCGTTCTTGACGTCCAAGAAATTTATTGAATTGTTGTTTTCGGTTTCTAGAGTGAAGCTTATGTTGGGGTGGATACTGTTTAACAATGTGCCAAATAGTTTTAACTGCCTCTCATTGCCATCAAACAAGATCAAAGTATCATCAACGTATCGACAATAAAATTATCACTTGTTTTTTTGCCGGTTATCATCTGCCCATAAGTGCTGATTTTCGAAATGGTTAAAAAATATCTCAGAAATGATGCTGGAAAGTAAATTATCTGTATCCGTCAAGTGACTCTGGTTTGTAGTGAACTAACTACAAACCAGGATCACTTAGTTGCCATTTGCCAGTGATCCTGGCATTGACTCGTATCAGTAATGCACTAAAATTATCAACACACAAACCTGTTTCCTGGAAATTTCTTTTGAGGAAAACAAACACAATACTTTTTATAATAATTTTGTTAAAGTCAATAAGTTGATGACTTATGCACTTAAAAAATAAAATCACCCTATCTGCACAATTACCACAAATTATTTATTAAATTAAAAACATGATCATAACTTTAAACAATCCTAATTTGACAGTTCTCATTGTGTATCACTAGACCATTTTGTATATACCAAGGCAAAAATGTGGTTCGGATTCCACTATAAACTGTAGGTCCCTTAGTTGCCATTAGCTGTATGGGCTATTAATTAACAGCTGTGTCTAAGGAATAAGTCTGCCTTAGTCACTAACATGACTACAAGATCATCCTCATCATTACTCATCCTACACTCGTGTCTATTCATACTTGGCTTAAAATACCTATTTTGTGTGGTCGCCATTTCATTGAAAAGTATTAAAGTATTGAGTATTCATCTCTGTTCAATATAAGATAGGCTTTAACAGTTTATTACTGATTGATGAAAAATATTCCAGGGAGAGTCAGATGACTGCCTCAACAGGTTGACCAAGGCCGATGGTGTGCTTCCCAAGTAAGTTAATTTTCTTTGCTTAAACTAATAGATTTTTAATTGTTGTATTTTTAATTCCTTTATAAAGTTAGAATTGCTGAACTGACTTAAAAGCTTTTGGGATGTTATTCAGTTTTGTACAGGGTATACACCAACAGGGAAATCCGGGAATTATGCGTGAATTTTGTATTTCTACCGAGAATTTTCAATTCACCGTGATCGTGCATGACGACAGTGACGTTTCTGTGACCGCAGGAGACGATAATGATTTCTACACGGCCGCGAGGGATGATCAGAATTTTGCCACAATCACGGAAGAATTTTCTGTTGGCGTAGTAATCCATACAGAAAATTTTGTTACTTTTTTTAATGGTATCGGTATTGAGAATTGATTTTTCAGGTATAAGTACGTTATGGAGAATCGATGAAAAAATAGGGAATAGATCACTATTTATAAAATGATTTATTTATAAATTGCTGGTTTAAGAATTAGTTGTTAATTTTCTGATTCTGTAATCAGAGTAAAATTTAAAAATTCCATATTTGAGCCAGGTATTATTACAGTAATCTCAAACTTTATTTCCTTAACTGGATCATGGAACTTAACTTTTTTTTAATAAGTAAAATAGCGAGCTGTGTTATCGCTAAAACAAAACAGTATTGCAGGAGTTGGCCCATAAACACGTTAAAAAGTTTGGTATGAAAAGTACGACCTAAACTACCTGAAATTACCTGATGCTGAAGGCAAAAAGGTGCGAAGACGGAGCAGATGGTCCAGGATTTGTAGAGGGCCTCACAGCTAGGGGAATTAGGGCCTCGCTGGTTGGGGGGCAGAAGGCGCCTTCTGATGTAGAGATGTCCAGGAATGTTGATGATGAGATGAGTGGTGTTTTCTGATGTTGCCGTTGTATGAATAGAATAAAAAATGTAAACTTAAATTTCCTCTTGTTGATTTATGACTCTTCATGTGATAAAAATAGAAATAAATCAAATCAAAACTTGTGTTATTAAAAGTTAAAATACAACCAAAACCAAAAACTTGGCACTTCTTGCGCCTTATATTTACAGTTGAATTAATTATTAAATGTTTTGATTAATAAAGAAATTGACACAATATAATGGCACTTTTCAATATTTGAGACTTGATGGATCTTGATAAAATTTGGCTTGCTTCAACAGGAGAACTTGAAACTCATTGATACACTGATTGAGAGAATTATGCTTTAAAACACACTGAATTTTAAGAGAATGCGTTAATATGAGAATACAAGTTAAGATATATTAGCCATAGGCTGAAATAGCGGACGTGAATGAGAACCACCGTTAGGGTGGCCACACGCCGTGAATTTTACGTGCTGGAAAAAAATCTGGAAATATTCGTGAATTTTAAAAATTCGCCGGGAAAAATCACAAAATGCATCTTTATTTGAATATCTTTACCGATTTCGTTGACATTTGACAAGTAAATAACAAGAAAGGTAAATGTTTGAGTTTTATTTAATCCCTTAACCCCTTTCAATATCCTTTCAAATAAGGAATACAGTTAGTAATAGATCAATAGTGTTAATGCCAGTATATATTAATTATAATTCATGGGATGATAACTTTCAGGCTTTATCAAACTTTTTAACCTCGCGAGAACTGATTTTAACTCTAGCATACTAAAATCTCTGTCCAAAACATCGTTTGTTATCATTGGTTCCGCATAACAGATCCCAGCTGATAATCGTGGCGAGTTTAATAATTTACTAAAATGATTGATCCAATCCTGTGGTGCAATGTTACCCACGAACCTATCACTCCCGTATTTAAAACTGTTTAAAGCCGACCAAAATGTTTTCGCGTCAGTCCTGTGATTTAAACTGGCAACCGTATTATCCAAGTGCATTTTTTGTTTATTTTTACATACAATTTTAACCCTAGCAGTGGCCAATGTTAGAAGTGGGGAATGCCAACCCATTTTGGCGATTTTGCAGACCATTTTTTGAAAATTCGTAAAAATTCAACCGTACAAGTAAACCTAGCCAACCTCATATTCATTTTGTTCGGAAAGAACAGGAGAATCTAGAAATAGTAATATCATAATGATTTAGACAGTGTATTTTATCGGTTAAGTGAAAAAAATAAAAAAATTTGAATTTTTTTTTTGAAATTTCAAAAGCGGCCTCTGCATTTTTTTTCTACAGATTTTTTTATGGGAAATTCATTATATACATTTTGTAGACAATCTAATTCCCTACATAGAAATATATAACATGTAAGGAAAATATTTTTTTTTATAAGTTTTTGGGGCGAAATATAATGACAAACGGAGAACCGAAAAAATTGAAAACCGTACAGTGTTAGTTTATGTTGTAAAAAGTTCTATAATATATGTGTATACTAATAATGATATATACATGTTTGTAAAGCTAATGAAGTAAGGAATCAAAAAAAGTCATAAAGTTTATGGTAAAAATATTTTTTTACCTATAAACATACGTATATAAAATAATGTTTTTATATTTTAGCGATTTCTCGAGAAAAAAAATTCACAGTACTTAGTATACAACTTTTGTACCAAATTTTTTTACTTCAAACCAACATAATAATCTTGTAGTGTATTCAATTACCTACATAAAAATGTATAACATGTTAGAAATATTTTTTTTGTAGGTACGTAATAGGGACATAATAATACAATAACCGCAAAACCGCAAATAAGTGTAAACTATAGCCTACAGTGTTTGCTTGTGTTGTGAAACATTATGTAGGCTGATGATATGTAGCCTACATATTTGTAAAGCCAATGAAGTAAGGAATCCAAAAAAGTCATAAGTATGATGGTACAAAAGTTATTTTCACCTATGATTATGTATCAATTTGAGAACGTTTTGAATTTTTTGCGCATTTCGAGAAAATGGAGTATTACAGTATTTAGTAGCCCTATATAATTTTTTGCCAATTTTTTACACCCAAACCAATATAAACATGTTGTAGTGTATTCATTTACCTTTATAAAAATGTATAACACCTTGGGTAAATCATTATAAGCACCTCTGAATGTCAGAATTTTCATTTTTGGACATGATGCTAACAAAATACAGTAGTAGGCCTATTTAGTATAGGCCATAACTTTTTTACAAAATTTTTTACCCCCAAACATTATAAACATGTTGTAGTGTAGGCCTATTCATTTACCTTTATAAAAATGTATAACACCTTGGGTATATCATTATATAGGTACAACAATCTCTGAATGTCAGAATCGTCATTTTAGGACATGACGCTAACAAAATACAACCTTTTATGAACACTATTCCACACAATTCAGTAATATTTATGCATGAAGATAACTGTTACACACACACAACACTTCACTTACACTAACACTACGAAATAATAACATATTTCGTAATAAATCGCGGATAAAACTATTGCAAAAACACAAACAAACAATGGCAATACAAGACAGCTGATAGACTGTAGCAGTAATGACTCACTTCCGTGAGCATACAGAAATGAAATAACCCTGAGTGCAGGGCTGCCACTCTCTGAATCTAAATTTCTTCCTCTTCAAAATGATATACTATATGACTAGTAATAATAACTTTCACTGTATATAATTCGTATTTTCCATACTGTCACCAGACGACTGTTGGCCATTGTTAGAAATTTCGAAAACAGCTGTTTTCATAAAATTGTACCGATTGTGCAATCAATATTTAGTTATAAATATCACTACCACAATGAAGATAAAATCAATGGCTATCCAGTGGTATCACCCGCAACATCCCAAGACGAAAATTACGCGAGCAGGTAATGCCAAACAAGACGTGTTTCGCCAGTTCCCAAGTGTCGGCTGCAAAAGTCGTACCGCGCCAAAATTTCATTTGATTTCTAATCGTCGTGACATTGTTATATACCTGCTACAGGGTTTGTTTATGTAATCAAATGAAAGTTCAGAATGTGATCTTTCGAATGGTATATATATTATTCTAATCTGAGTTGATTGTAAGTGTTTTTTTTACCGTTAAAAACATTTCGGCCCATACCGTAACCAGACGACTTTGGCCATTCTAAGCATCAACGTCATACCGTAACCAGACGACGGTTGGCCACTGCTAGGGTAAACATCTTACATGCTTGAATGTACTCAGATTTGTCAGCTGTCGAGTTTGTCTCTCGAAATATGTTTAATCTCTTAAATTTCCGCTTTCCTCAACACTAAACATTTGTAATCAAACCATTTTAGCGAATTTCCCTATAGGGAAGTAGCTATTACCGTAGGTCTCATGGTAAGACCTAGGCCCGGGACCGATTTACTTTTTCATTTTGATGTCCCCAGAGGCCAAAAATACCATTCGTTCAAATTTTTTTATATCTATATCTATATCTATACTATTATATATAAATCTAATGGTGTCTCTCTGTATGTGTATTACTAATAGGTGCAAAAACTACTGAACCAACTGGGCTAAAATTTTACAAAAATATAGTTACCATACCAAGGACCATTATAGGACTATTCACATTTCGATACTAACCGTAGGCTTTGCCCCTTTGGCTTTAAAAGTTCTGAGGTGAACATTTTAAAAGTAAATATTGATTGGTCTCCATGGCTGTGATGAGAACACTAACAATGTTTGTTTACATTTGCTTTAACATTTAAATGTTAACAAGAAGAACTGCTAAACTGCATATTTCACAATTTCAGACAGCTGTTACAAAGAATTTCCATAAATATGAGGTAGGTTTATTTTAATCTAACCTTTTATCATGGATTATTTATTCTAAAACTATGTCAATGACTATAGAAAAAAAAGATTTTATAGCCGTTGCTGTATCAACTCCGGCTCTGCTTTGGATTTTTTAAAGCGTCTTAAGTTAATAATCTTAAGTGAAAATAATGTTATTGATGTTTTCATGGAAACAGTATGAAAATTACAATGTATAGATGTTTTGTATGAATTTGGAGGCTACTTTAAATAAATTCAAACTGCTTCACATGTGTTAGATTAACTATAATTTGCACATCACAT